ACTACTACCATTCTACAAACTTCCAAGTTCTTCAACATTCTAAGAACACCATTCAGGAAAATATACAGCCATCAAGTATGCACTTAAAGTGAAGCAAAGATTAACTCTCCCAATTTGCTAGGAATCCTGAAAATCGGGGGCGCTGTTATACTGGTACCTAACACCAATTTAGAAATTCCTATTATCTTAATGCAGAGAATCTATAATACAAGGTTTCTAGGTCAGTGCCCAGTAGAAATGCAATAAATGATAGCTATCATCACCACGTTTCAATGACTTTAAGATACCATCAACTGTAAGTATGCATCAGTATCCTAGGTAATATTAAGAAAAAATGGCAGCCAATTACAACTGCAAGATGTCCTTAATTGTAGACTCATTGACTCAGTAATATTAAAATGTATAAGAAAATGCATCTAAAATTAATGAAATAATAGTTTTATTACTGCATGTCGGGCTTGAAAATAAAGAACAGATTCCCACCCTTCATCCATTTCTTTGAGACCCTTTTATCAAGGCAAGAGAAGAAGGTAAACTCTGTTTTCCTCATTTGTAAAATTTTCTTTTGTAATGATATCTAAGAATAAAGAGTACTAGGTTTTAAATAAGTAAATTTTTTTTTAAAGATTTTATTTATTCGACAGAGAGCAAGAGCAGGGGGAGCAGCAGGCAGAGGGAGAAGCAGTCTCCCCACTGAGCAGGGAGCCTGATGTGGGACTTGATCCGGGACCCTGGGATCATGACCTGAGCTGAAGGCAGTCGCTTAACTGACTGAGCCACCCAGGCCCCCCTAAATAAGTAAATTTAACACCAATGATATCTCTTTCTAATTTTATGGTTTGGGTACCATATAGTGTTACAGTATTTTTCATTCACAGTGATAGTCTTTAATTTTTAATTCCACTGAGAGGCAGAGAACTTTCATTTTTTATTAACAAGGGCCTAAATTATTTTATTTTGTAGACTGCAGTAATACTACCTACTAAATTCTATGGGGTAAAAACTAGCACCCACCAAAATCCCAAGAAAGCAATGGGAAAAAGAAATACTGCCAGCCTTTGGAAATCATGGAAGGATTTAAGTGACCCTGCCACCCTAGCTCTAGGGATGGAGGATTCATATGATGACAAAAATAGCTGGTCTTTTTAGACTGCAATAAACAAAACAAAACCCCCCCAAAAAACAACAACAAACCACTCACATTACCAAACATCTAAAATGTAAAAGTGAAAAAAGGCTAAAATACGCCATCATTTCAAAAAGTTCAGTTAAAATAAATTTATACCAATTTAATTTATGAAAATAATCTTATAAGCAGCAGATTCCTAATGAAATTGGTTCCCAGGATTCAAGATGAGATTCTCGAGTATAAACCACTTTCCTGCACAAAACTGTAACTCTAAATATGCCCTTTTAACAAATATATAAGGTTCTTTTAATTCTTTTGGTCATAAAACTCTTAAAATAGGGCGCCTGGGTGGCTCAGTCATTAAGCATCTGCCTTCGGCTCAGGTCATGATCCCACGGTCCCGGGATCGAGTCCCACATTGGGCTCCCTGCTCAGCGGGAAGCCTGCTCGCTCTCTCCCACTCCCCCTGCTTGTGTTCCTGCTCTCACTATCTCTCCCTCTCTGTCAAATAAATAAATAAAATCTTAAAAAAAAAAATCTTAAAATAAGTTCATATAAAAAATTATAATAAACACAATCAAATGTATACTCTAGGACAACTGCCTATTGTTAGTCTTCTCAAGTAAATGCCTCATCCTCTGAAATCAAAACTTAAAACGCTCTAGTGAGATATAACTGCTTATGTTTATAAGCATCATTTATTCACTACCTCCTTCTAACACTTGAGAGGAAAGTGATAGCTAATATGGATGCGAGATCTTAAGTGAGGTCAGCTCCTCATTTTGACAGCTCTACTTTTCTCTAAGAGGCAGTGGTGGATAGGCAAGATCAGAAGAGAGGATAAACGTTTTCAAAGGTTTATTCAGGACTGTCGTCAGTGTTTATTTTTTCATTGTTAAATGCTGCTGCTTCTTTCAAACACAATAAAGTGATTTTTTTCCCCCTTTGTTTTTAAATATTTTCATGGCAAAAGGTAAATGCCCAGCCCCAAGTATGCTTAACGACTGTTAAGTCAGTGAACAGAAATGTGCCATTAGAAGGCTAACATTGATGCTGCTTTAAATGCTATTTGTGGTAAGCAGGTTACATTTGTTTTTAAACAACAACAATCTAAATTAAGAGGAACTTTAAAATATGAGAAACGTGTGCCCCCTCCAAGTCATTCGTATTTATACCCATCCTCCTTGCCAGTGATTTGACTGTGGCAGGTGAAGTAATATTTTTTAATGCTTCACAAACATAAGGACAGACAAATTATCTTTTTAAGTTAGACATAATTATAACATTGAATTGAGAGATGAGCTCCCTATTTTCTAGAGAAGATTTTGCAGGTGAGCGCTAAGTAATTTCCTAGGTAGGGTAACTTAGGCATACATGAGTATTTCTGTACCTGTAATACAGATATTTTTATAGAGATAAAGAGAACACTCTAAAACACAAATAAGAACATAATGAGCTACAGCTTACCATTGTGGTATAAAATAGGGGTCCAAAAAGAAGAGATAACTTATGTGCGTTGATGAAGAGGGGTGAAAACCATGTCTTTAATATCAATCTTATAGTGCTAAAAAAGCAAAAACAACAAAAGCCCCCACATTAACATAAAGTGATTAAGAAAAATCAGATTATCTCGTTATTAAGGAAAATTACTTGAGAAATAGAAATTTTTGAACACATTTTTAAATAATCAGCAACAATAAAAATCACATATCACAGTCTTTCCAACTGTTGAAAAGTACAGTTTTAACTAGGTAAATTATAATCATTACTTGCTTTCTTCAAAAAATTTAACATCCAGGAGAGAAAAGAATAAATGTCTTCAAATTTCTCCTCTCCATCACCACTGTTGCTACTGTCATTGTTCCTATGGATTATTCTAACAATCTATCCACTAACCTGCATCACTGTACAGTTCACTTTACAAATCACACATTTCATCACACCTGCTAATAAAAGTCCTCTGAAGATATTCCCCCAAATATCCTAAGCTACATTTGGCAGATACAGCTCCAGTCCCTCTAGCCCTTCCCCTCTTCAAGCAAACTGGATACATTGCTGAAGAATCTCATTCCTCTAACACATGGGTTCTCACCCTGGCTACACAAGAGAATAACCTGGGGAGCTTTAACAAGTGGTATACTCATGCAGTATACACTACTCATGCAGGGATTCTGATTAACTGGTCTGGAGTAGGGCCTACGGATCAGAATTTTTTGAAACCTCCAGGTGATGCAAGGGCTAATTTTACCTAACTCCCTCTAATTTGTGTGTCTACACACCACTAAACTATAAAAACCACATCCTCAAGTGACAGAAAACAGTATTTTCCATGTGAAATTTTTGTTTTTGGTAAACCCAAAGCTTAGGTTTTGCCAGTTTGGGTTTAAGAAACAAACAAAACAAAACCAAAAACACCAAAAAATTACAGGCACCATCCAAGTTCCAGGAATAATAATTTAAAAAGTAAGACATTAATCCTACCTTCCAACAGCTCATGGATTTAATATAAGTTTAAGTTAAGGTGAAAATTTCTGACCACTGAATCTAAAGATGAAGGACACCAGGTACAGGCAAGATGTGATGACTCTAATCTCTGTCACTAAATTGGGGAGAAGGATGGGAAGAGAAAGGCTTCCCAACTTTATTACAGACAAAAGCCATTAACTACGTATACAATTTACAAACCAAACATTATGACCGCGTACAGCATTTACCAGACCCTGTGAAAAAACCATTGTAATTATCGTCTCCATTTTACAAAATAAGGCACTCAAAACGAAGGAATTTCCCAAGACCACACAACAGACTGGAATTCAGACCTCTAAATTTTTAATCTTAGATTCTTTCTACTAAAGCTCACGACCTTCAGACCATTCAATCCAGCACCCGTTTTTAGATTTTAAATCGGATTCTGCTCAGACTAATGTACATTTCCCCCCTTAATTTTGATCTAACTTCATATCATGGTTCCCAACCTTCGTACACTATACTCAAATCTAACTCGGAAAATCTTGCTAATCACTATTTTCCTACCAGGAACTTTAATGTATGGTACTCAGGAAAACGCAGTCCCTCCTGATGCGATGGTTACAGGAGATGGCTTCCAGGAACAGCTAGCTCTTTATTTCTCAACTCCCGGTAACCATGGCAAGGACCAGTAATGAATCCAACTGTAAAACTAGCAACCGATTCCACTGCTTTTCCTGATCGACCTGACGCTTCAACTGTTCGAGGTTTTTTTTTGTTTTTGAAACAACTTAGGCTTTACCAACCTATCGCCACAACTCAACAGCAGTGCGAACAGCCTTTATTCAATATGGATACCAAGAAACCCTCCCCCAAAGCGCTACGCGAAATTCTTGGAAATTTCCGGAAATACCCGTACCTGGAATCCAAAAGTCAAACTACAACGAAAAGCGTTGCTTGGAAACACTGCCAGAAGCAACTAAGGCGACTACCCGGGGTGCGAGGGCTCAGCCCAGTCCACCCTCGTCTCTGGGAACACCTTCCTTCTGCGGGATGCCGGCTCTGTGGAAAGCCGCGAAAAGCCACTCGGGAAGCCGCTCGCTTACCTTTGACCCCGGCCAAGATCTCGCGCGCCTAACCGTCGCTGGGGGCCCGCCACTCCCACCCGCCACCGCCCACCTGTGCGGAACGCCGCCGCGCTGGCCTCATGACGGCGCGTCTGGCTCGGCCGGAACGCGACGTGCGGGCAAGGGCCGCGCGCTGCAGGCTGCAGGTTCGTTCCGTAGGTCCCCTCGCGGGAGCTTCGCAGCTCAGCCATAGGCCTGTTCCGGGGCCCGCACTTCCGATTGGCGCGCTGGGCGGGGCGAGCTGGGGACCGCAGGCGGAAGAGGTGGAGTTGGGAGGGTCGGGCGGCACTCGGGAGGCTTGTGCGCCGGAGTCTGGTGTCGCCGGGGCGGGTCCCCACAAAGACCTTGGGGACTGAGGCCCGGCGGGGGGGGCACAAGCTCCTTCGCGGGCCCGGCATCCAGCCCCGTAAAATGCGAGGTAGGATGTGGCTATTTGGAAGATAGGGTGCCCTTCTGAATTTCTGGAGTGAAAGAGTCTTGGAACGAGCTTTTATTCTCAGCCCATCCAAACGGAAAGGGAACTTCACCATTTCTACAGTTAATAGTTCAAGCCATTCAGCCCTCGATAGTGTATATCAAATGCCAGTGAATTTAATGTTTAAAAAATTCCAAAAAACAAACAGAAGCAACCTCACTGAGGAGTCCTAACAATTCATAAAGGAAATAACCAGCCTACATTACAATGTCTAATTGCAGTTCTGCACCTCTAAACAACTTTGGTTGTTGGGTATAAACTTTATTCTTATTGAGGTGAAATTCACAGAACATAAAATGAAACATTTTAAGAGTATAATTCAGTAGCATTTAGTACATTCATGATGTTGTGCAACCACCAACTCTAATTCCAAAACATTTTCATCACCCCCATTAAGTATTAACTCTCCATTTTTCCCTCTCTTAGACCTCAGCAGACACCAATTACTTTCAGAGTCTTTAGATTTACCTAATCTGGATATTTCCCCAAAATGGAAAATGTGACCTTTTTTTTGTGTCTGTCTTCTTTCAATTAGCATAATGTTTTCCAGGTCCATCCACCTTGTAGCAAGTATCAGTACTTAATTCCTTTTTGTGGCTTGTATTCTGTCCCATTGTATGTATATGCCACAGTTTTATGCATTGGCCCATTGATGGCCATTTGGGTTATTTACACCTTTGGACTATTGTGTATGGTGCTGCTATGAATATTTGCTTTGTATTTGAGTCCTGTTTTCAATTTGGGGGTGGGTGGGTAATACACCCTAAAAGAAAACCAGAGCCTGACATAGTTCAAGTGGTAAAAACAGATTTTATTCGGGAACTATTGCAAAAGAGGGAAAGAGACCTCAGTAGAGAACTAGACTCAATTCCACATATACAGCATGAACAAATAGTAATTTATAGCCAAGGAGCAGAGTTGGAGAGTAGTGGACGGAAGTTTCTTAACAGGAAATAATAAGGGTCAGGGGGCATTCTGTCTAAACTGACTTGTTGGGATTCTGACTGAAGGCAGATTAGGTTGATCAGGCACCAAGGGTGGGGACTAAGAGTTTGATCAGATATTGAAGGTGATCAGATATCCAGGGGGATCCAGATACACAATTCTTTGTAAACTGACTTAGGATCCTTGCTACAACTGGTTGATACATGTCCCACAAATCAGACTCGAATCATGGAGAGAGCTTATCAAATACCTAGGAGTGGAAATGCTGGGTCATATGGTAATTCTACTCTTAAATATTTGAGAAATTGATAAAACTGTTTTCCAAAATGGCTGAGACATTTTACATACTAATAGCAATCAATATGTGGTGGTTCCAGTTTCTCTACATCCTCACCAAATTTCTTTTTTAAAAATTATACTCATCCTAGTAGGTAGGAAATAGTATCTTACTGTGGTTTTGATTTGTGTTTTCCTAAGGCTAGTGATGTTGCACGTCTTTTCATGTCCGTGTTGGCCATTTGTGTATATTTGGAGAACTGTCTATTCAAGTCCTTTGCCTATTTTTTAATTGGATTGTCTTTGTTGTTTAAGTTATGAATTCTTTCTGTATTCTGGATACTAGACCCTAATCAGATATATGATTTGCAAATATTTTCTTCCATTCTGTAGGTTGTCTTTTCACTTTCTTGCTAATGTCCTTTGATGTACAAACTTAAATTTTTGATGAAGCCTAGTTTATTTTTCTCTCTTATGGCTTGTGCTTTTGGTGTCATACTTAAAAACCCATTGCCAAATCCAAATTCATAAGGATTGTCAAAAACCAAACTCTGTACACTGAGTAAAATAAAACAGAAAGATGAGTTTGTTGCAGTGGTTTTGACCTGTAAACTCGGAAACTCAAGACTAAGAGAGCAATGAGTTTCAAGTTAAAAGGTGTTTATGGGATAAACATGGAAGTTATTTGACTTTTTCAGTTGATTGGTTGCTTGGTCTTCTTATTTGTGTCAGGGTAGCTGAGTCAGAGAAAAAAGAAAGTCCAAAGATGGCATGAACAGACTTGGCATTTGGGGGTATCACTGTCCTGGGCTGATTTCTGAGGGGAGCCATAAGTTACTACAATTTGTCAGGTAAGGCTAAGTTTTGTTTTTCTTTAATGTGCCTCCATTGACCAACACCATTTTGTCCCCATCATAAGTGACTCCATTTTAATTTTGATTTTGTAGGATTTACCCTTAGGATTTCTTTTAAGAGTTTTATGATTTTAGCTCATGTATTTAAGTCATTGATTCGCTTTCAGTTAGTTTTTGTATATGTTGTGTAATAGGGATTTCATTTCATTCTTTTGCATGTTGTCCCAGACCCATTTGTTGAAAAGCCTATTCTTACTCCCAGTGAATGGTCTTGACCTCCATATCAAAAATCAGTTTGCCATACATGTATAGGTTTGTTTCTGGACTGTTAATTCTACTCCATTGGTCTTTATGCCTATCCTGTGTCAGTGTAGGTATCCCCATCTTTTCAAAATTTGTGTTATGCCACTTTGCTTTTACAAAAGACCTACATTAGTACCTGTTTTCATTAATTGAAAGAAATCTGAAAAGAATTTTTGCTTTTACGACAAAAGATTGAAAGAAAAAAAGCGTTCAGCGTTTGTTTTGTAGTGAGCCTTTATAGAGGCAGCATGCACCCTGAGCAGCAAGAGTGGCACAACCAAGCTCTTTCTCTGGGAACTACATCTCAGTATCAAGCCACCATAGCTTTGCACAGTGTCTGTGAGCATCTGTGCTTAATCTTGATTTATGTTGTGCATCCATTTAGCAAGATGTGTTCTAAAGTATCAGAAAAGCCTGAGAGAGATTGTTTTTCCATGTAAAATTGTAATTTTCCATGTAAATTAATGTTAATTGCTTCTTCACTCTATGCCATTTCAGTTTATAAAAGGTTTCATAGGAACTCTATTTTTGGATAGCAGGAAGAAATCTGTACCACACTGTTTTGATTACTGTAGCTTTGTAGTAGTTTTAAAATGGGGAAGTGTAAGTCCTCCAGTTTTGTTCTTCTTTTCTAATATTGTTTTGGCTCCCTTCCAACTTTGTATGAATTTGAGAATCAGCTTTTCCATTTTTGCAAAAAGACGACTAGGATTTTGATAGGGATTGTATTGAATCGGTAGATAACTTTGACAAATATTGGTGTGTTAAATAGTCAGTTTTCCAGCATGATGTCTTTCCATTTATTTAGGTCTTCTTTAATTTTTTTCAGCAATGTTTTGTGGTTTTCAGTACACAAAATTTTCATCTCCTTGAATTTATTCTTAGGTATTCCATCATTTTGACTGCTATCTTAATCGGCTTAAGTTGCTATAACAAAATGCTGCATACTGGGTGTCTTAAACAACAGAAATTTCTTTCTTACAGTTCTGGAGACTGGGAATCCAAGATCAAGGCCAATATGGTTTCTGGTGAGAGTTTTATTCCTGGCTTGTAGATAGCTGCCTTCTCACTTGGTCCTTCGATAGTGGGCAAGGAGAGAAAGAAAGGGAGACAGGGTGTACTCTGGTGTCTATTCTTATGGATACTAAGCTATCAGATCAGGGCCCTACCATTATGGCCTCATTTAACCTTAAATTACCCTTTTATAGGCCTTATCTCAAAAACAATCAAATTGGAGATTAGGGCTTCAACATATGGATTTTGGAGGGACACAATTCAGTCCATAGCAGATGGTATTACAAGTGGAATTATCACTTAATTTCCTTTTTGGGTTACTCATTGTTAGTGTATTTAAAAAAAACACATTTTTTGAGTGTTGATCTTGTACTCTGCAAATTTGCCAAATTTATTTATTAGCTCTAATAATTGTGTGTGTGTATATGTGTGTATGTTCTTTAGGATTTCTATAGACAGAATCATAGCATCTGTTAATTGAGATAGTTTTACTTTTTCCTTACAATTTGGATGCCTTTTATTTCTTTCGCTTGTCTAATTGCTTTGGTTAAGGTCATTCTTTCATTTGAAGGAATTGGCTCATGCAGTTGTTAATGCTGGCAAGTCTGAAATTTGTAGGGCAGGGTGGTAGACTGAAAACTCAAGCAGGAGTTGATGTTGCAGTCTTGAGAGAGACTTTGTTCTTTTCCAAAAAAACCTCAGTTTTTGCTGTAAAGGCCTTTGTGTATTATGAAGATTGATTGAAAAAGGCCTACCTATATCATCAAGAGTAATCTTCTTTATTTAGAATCAATCAATTTTAGATGAAAAACACATCTACAGAATTCTTTTCACAGTAACACCTGGATTAGTGTTTGATTAAATAGGTGGATAGCAAAGCTGACACATAAAACCAATAATCACACCCAGTGTGGTAGATAGTTTTATTCACAATTTTTTAAATAAAAAATTTCACTTTTGTCATGGCTTCAGTTTGGGTAGAATATACTTCCCCCACCCTAGTGACTTTGCATTTTGCCGTATGACTTGCTTTGGCCAATGGAATGTGAGTGGATGTAACATATGTCCACCAGTTGGGAAACTAAATGTGGTCTTAGAGAGAAGGGGAAGGCCTGTATATTCTGAATCCTTTAGCTTTGTGTGTATGTGCATGTATTTGTATGTATGTGTTTCTGCAGGCAGTGATATAGTGTCCAGCTTGAAATGGCTCCTACTGGCAAAAGAAGAAATACTTGGAGCACCAAGACAATTAAAAAGTGTTTGCAATGGATTGAAACTCATTAAATATGTTAAAAATACATGAATTCTTAATATTGCTTAAAAAAAAAGCTCACTAGTCACATTGAAAATTGCTAGGACACCAGTTCATTATTCTGAAATTGGTAAATAATGGTTAAAAAAGCAAAACAATTAACCTACTTTTCCTACATAAACTGAAATTCAGAGTAACCAAATTGTTGATGAAGAAAAACTTTTATGGAAAACGTCTAATGAATAAATGAGGGAGGAATGATAATAATATCACCATTTTGCAACCCATAAGAAAATAATGTTTCTAAGAAATAACAAGTCCAGTTCCACATATAAGGAGCTCAGAAGTGGCTACTCCGTCCCAACAATAAATAAAAAGATGATCAAACTGAAAAATCAACAACTCTTTTTAGATCTGCAAGAGAAGTGAGGTCACAGGGCATATAATGCCCGCCAAATAGAGAGACTGACACGTGAATATAGAATCACAGTGTATTGGAGCAGCAACCTCCATGGGAACCAGTGCCCGGGTAGGGAAACCTGAACTGCAATTGATGAATTGCTGGAGGTTCATTGTGGACAATTCTGACACTTAAAAGCTCCAGGGGGACTGAGTCATGAGGCAGCCCTCACACTTTTGTAAGTTTACACCTCCAAGAACTCTACAAGGTTCTCACAGTAAATATCAGAGAAAAATCTTGTGCTCCAACAGAAGGAGAGGAAAAGGAGCCATCTGAAAATAAACCAGAGAACTCTCTTCTTCTTTTTTTTTTTTTTAAGATTTTATTTATTTATTTGACAGAGAGAGACATAGCGAGAGAGGGAACACAAGCAGGGGGAGTGGGAGAGGGAGAAGCAGGCTCCCCGCAGAGCAGGGAGCCCGATGCGGGACTCAGTCCCAGGACCCTGGGATCATGACCTGAGCTGAAGGCAGTCGCTTAACCAACTGAGCCACCCAGGCGCCCAAGAACTCTCTTCTTCTTAGTAAGGCTTGCCCTCAGAGGAAACTCGTTAACCAGAGCCTAACTTGTTGGGGTTTTATCAGAGCCTAGATAACCTGGGGGAAAGGAAATACTCAACTCTAGCCCACTCTAGTCATCCTATCCCACATATGAGAGGATGGGGGCAGAAAACTGAGAAGCACTTGTGAAGTTCACATTCAGAGGCATAGGCTCACTGAAAGACTGAGACCTACTCATGGGACTGTAGAATGCTTCACCTCCCCTAAATCTCACTACTACATTATGAAAGGTCTGTTTACATCAGTTCTTTTTATATGTCCAGCAATCAAGAAAAAGATAGAAGACATCCCAAAAGACAAAAAACATTGTTTGAAGAGACAAAGCAAGCATCAGAACCAGACATTGCATGGATATTGGAATTATCAGATTGGTACTTTAAAACTGTGATTAGGGCGCCTGGGTGGCTCAGTCGTTAAACGTCTGCCTTCGGCTCAGGTCATGATCCCAGGGTCCTGGGATCGAGTCCCCACATCGGGCTCCCTGCTCCGCGGGAGGCCTGCTTCTCCCTCTCCCACTCCCCCTGCTTGTGTTCCCTCTCTCCCTATCTCTCTCTCTGTCAAATAAATAAATAAAATCTTAAAAAGGGATGAAGTAGACAGCATTCAAGAGTAGATGGACAATATAAGCATAGAGATGAACGTCCTAACAAAGAACCAAAAATAAATGTTAGAGACCAAAAAATATATAAAATAAATGAATGCCTTTGATGGGCCTATTAGTAGACTGGACATGGCTAAGGAAATAATAACTAACGTTTGCCAAATAACCATTCAGTGGATGGTTGAAAGGGAACTTTATAAAATGGATCAGACTGACAACACTTGATCAATCTTAATAGTACTGCAAGTGAGATGATCAAGTATTGTGTACCTCCTGATGTGATACATTTCATATTGTTACTCTCTTTGAAATATTTTCACAAAACCAGAAATTGATTCTAAATCTAATGAAGCCTCTAGATCTGACTGCTGGTTTACTTGAAAGAGGAAGGCACAGAGTAACATGTTAAGTAATATCATAATAGAATCCACCCAGTACATAATATGGTAACCCCTGTAGGAAAATAGAATGTAAACTGGCTATGTTAACTGTTATGGGCTGAATTTTGTCCCCTCCAAAATTCTATGCTGAAGCTCGAACCCCTAGTACCTCAGAATGTGACTGTATTTGTAAATAGAGTCTTTAAAGAGGTGATTAAGTTAAATGAAGCTGTTAATATGGGCCCTAATCTAGTATGATGGGTACCCTTGTAAAAAGAGGTTGGGGCACATAGACACCAGAGATAAGAGCACAACAAATCTGTGGTATTTTGTTATGGCAGCCTCAGCAAATTAATACAATAACACTAGGTGGAATAATGGTTTTTTGGTTATAGGAGTAACAAAAATGGACCTTATCTATTAGAGA